TGAATCATCAAAATTTCAAATATTTGTCTCCATCAAAATTCGATCGTCATTAAATTTTTAAAAATTTTGAAAATCCGCAAAATTTTTGTGAAAATCCCCGAATTATTTTTGTTTTGTTTTACAATGTACACAAAGAGAACATGTTCACAATTAATTTAGAAGATGGGCGCGAAGCGCCCTCAAAGGCTAGAAAGAAGGGCGCGAAGCGCCTTGAATTTCTAGTATATATATATTATATTCTAATTTATTTGTTTTTAATATTTCCATGTATCGGTCTAAAATTCATAACCTATACATTATGCCACCTTAATAACAACATTTTCTACCTTGAATTGTATTTACTTGATTCATGACCTATTAAATCGCACATTGAACATTGTACATTGTACGATAATTTGTAAAATTTTTCGGAAGAAAATGAATTTGAAATGATCAAAGTAATTCTGAATAATCAAATTAATAAAAGTTGCACAATATTACCCTATATTACCCTACATACATCATAAACCCGTTATAAAGATTTGCAACAAATATTAATCATTATTAATCATTTTATCGCTTGTCTTTGCTGGTTTTGAAAAAAAAGTTATTTTAAAAATTATGATTTTAAATCTGTATTAATGCCACTTTTTAAATGACAGGTAGGGTTTCCAACCCAAGCTTAGTAAATTTTACTTGCGCGCAATACACGTGGATTTAACGGTTCTGTCAATATTCCAGAAAGCTGTGACTTTCGATCACAATTTGACCCATTAAACATAACTTGTTAGCCTTTTTTTCTGAAAAATTTTTTTGTTAGCATATGCATTTTGAATGAAAATGTATAAAATAAACAAATCCGTAAAGTAAATGATTATTGAATTAAAGATCAAAACACGTTTGTTTTCAAATAGAAGAAACCGAATGCTGCTCACTCTGGTTAGTCCGGTGTGAATAGCCAGCACTTTAAATTCGAGCAACTCAGCGCAATTCTACCCAACGGAATTCCGATTGGAAACTTAAATGAAAAATCGCTTAGATTACGTGGATAGTCCCTTTAATTGCCGAAACTTTTGAATAATTAATCCCTACCTCGAACATATAGTAGGTGGCGCCTCCATGCTCCTCCCCGAGGGGGTATCCCGCCTCCTCAGGAAAATAAAAGGGTTCGCCCCCGAGCCCCCATGCGGCAACAATGCCGCGGCATTTTAGGAAATCATCCGGCATATTGGGGGTATAGCATTCATAGCCCAACATAGAGTCAACATGCTTAGAGAATACTTGGTCAGGACTACTGTCATGGCATTCATACAACATCATATGATGAACAAACCTAGTAATAAAATATTATCTTATTGCAATAAAAAAAAAACAATAAAAGGTTCAAAAATTCATAAACTCATGTTTACAGGGTGCTTTGAATTATCATTTAAAAGCACTTTTTGAATGCACATTGAAAAATTCTATATTGATAAAAATGATCGTTTTAAAAGATCGTGTTTTTTCCGATTTTTGAATAATGTTCGCTCATTTTCGACTTTGTTTCTACCATGATTTAAAAATGTCTTTGCTTATTTCATTAAAATAATAACAGACAATAAAAAATTTAAGTTCCAATATGAAACAAAGCATAGGACATTTAAATGTTGAACACTTTTTTGAAAAGTCTTTCTTCACCCATGCTTAGAATATGGACAGTATTTTTCACAAGAATATCTGGAATATTTAACGGTTTACAACTTTCAGCTATTTACAAACTTTACAACGGTTGTTGGACAAAAGGGCTAAAATTTCCTAGATTTTAAAAGATTTTATAATTAAGTTGAAAAAAACTTAAAGGATTGCAGACGTATTCTCAAGTCATTCTCTATTTATAGAGTGGCGTGTCTTTTGTCTTAAAACTGATTATTTTCAACTATTATAGTTTTTATAAAAATTTCTGGCGGATTTTTGGAGCAGGGGAAAAATGAAATTATCAGAGTTAACCTCTTCTTTAAAAAAATCTAAAGATACCGTTGTGATTCGAACATGTCAATCTACAAATGCAGGTTCTATGAAATCAAAGTCCCTCTAAAATTTTTCAATTTTCGGGTCTTACCTTTCATTTCCTGGTTGTATCCTAGGCCTGTATCCGACCATATGATGGCGTTGAGCTAAACTGGGCAGCTTCACCATAGTACACCAATAAAGGGTCTCCTAATTTTTATAATAATAATAATAAAAATAATAATAAAGGGAAGTAAAGGAAAGCAAAGGGAAGAAAATAGAGGCAAAAGGAAAGGAAATGGAAGAAATTGGAAGTAAAAGTAAGGAATTAAGAAGGAGAAGGGTAGGGTAAGAAGAAATATTAGTGGTTAAGACAAAAGAATGAGATGGTTAGCATTGATAGGACGGATAAGCAGTATTGACGGATATGAGGGGGCCGGGAGCGACGGGACGAGGGGGGGATTAAAGGGAGGGGGTAGGAACTTAATTGAGGCTTTATGAGAGAAGCGGACATATTGAAATCTTAATTTCTCAGGATTTCCGCTCACGCTTTTACAAATCTTAATTTCTCACATTATGCACCTCCTTCCCCTTTACTAGAGCCACGCGACGCCCTTTCCTCAAAACTTCATTATATCCCAGGAAAAGTACCTACCCCCGATGCATGCTATCTCGGTTCAACACATACGCTACTTTTTTACGAATCAATGATCCATCCAATTTCCTAGCTATTGTATTTGTATACAATATGTATATATACTGGTTTTGTCACTTACATTTTCAATAAAATCTGTTTTCTAGTCTAACTATTGAATATTTGTTTGATGTAACGACCCACTTCTTCATACTTGGCTCCCTGGCCTCCTGAACCTCCCCCTGGTAGAGGTGGAGCAGCCTACCCCCCGCTCTATCCACATCCCTCCAGGATACCTCCTCCTCCTCCCCAGGGTCCCGCCCACCATACGCCCAGATTACTCGGAACGTGTCGTTTGTAATTCTAATGTCGTCGTCCAGATCACAGGTCTCCAGCTTTCGTCGAAATCTAAAAGAGATAAAAATTATGAAAAAATCCCAGAAATAAAAAACTATGGATTTTTACCGTCTTTTGTCAGTTTTAAAAGTATTTAGTATCTGATATGTCCATAACATGTTTTACTGAAGTAGAATTGCGCAAGTTACAATCGTACAAAACCAAAAAAGCAAATAATTACTTTTTAAAATCAAAAATATTGATATCTAATTCATACTTGATCAGACAAAGCTTTGCACTGGAGGTCACTTGAAATTACGTTTACCGTCCTTACAAACGTACTTACATTTACTCGGTTTTATTTGGCCATTGGTTTTACATTAAAATCTAACAGATTCTTTTTTGTTCATTTTAAATTTACAACGCGCTTTGTCTAGCTTTAGTTTAAATGCAGTTATTGGAAAAATGAGTCAGAGCTGCACACTTTGAATTACTGTGAGTTTTTCTTAATTATTTATTTTATCGTTGCTTGTATTAATCAACATCAATTTTTCTTTCAAACCTGAAGAAAAATTATTTTAAAAACTTATTCTGTGAAAAATACAATTGAAAGAGAATAAAGAGGCAAGAAGCATTCTTATTTCAAGATTCGATTTATAAATATATCCCGTATATATCTGTTGATCAAGATCTACAGATAAAATTTCAACTGTTCACTGTCTAAAAGGGAATGTTATCTTTAGTAATATAACCTTAAATATTGAAATATTCGATTATCTAAACATCTAAATAAATAAATACTAGGCTTGTAGGTCGCTTTCTACACCTTTTTTAGTAATGTTTCTTTCCATGCTTCCATTCATTTTGTATATCTTTAAACTGAACAATTTTACGGGTTCTTTTGTTTTCATTTCTGGATTTTCAAATAAAACAATAATTTTTGTAGGCAACTATCTCTTTATATTGGCCTTGAATCTCCCCAGGTGAAATTTGAGGTCATATACATACATTTCGGCTCAATCGGTTTAGCCGTTTGGACGTTTATTGGATACAAACCAACAAAAGATACGCATATTTATATTTAACTAAATATGTCAGACTGCAGGTATTAAATACCAGTTATTTTAACATGTTGCCTAAAGCACGAAGTGGGGGGGGGGATAAAATTATCTTTATCAAAAACGTATTAAGAGTTGAGACACAAAATAACATTATTGAAAAATGAATTTGATTTCTGTCAGACACAGAATGCGCAGATATGAGAAGAGGAGCTCACGCAAAACTAACGAAATCATGTCCATCCAGTTTTAGAATAAACACAACCAAGTCAAGATCTTTTATTATAAATCCATCCAACAAAGGACAATGAACTTTTCCAAGATACGAATCAAATTAAGAAAATAAAACACGTTAAATTGTTAACATTTGCTGGTTGTTAAAGGGTTTAAAGCCTGGAAAAACATTAAGAAGAACAGGAAAAATCCAGAAGAACAGGAACAATCCAGAAGAACAGGAACAATTCAGAAGAACAGGAACAATCCAGAAGAACAGGAACAATTCAGAAGAACAGGAACAATCCAGAAGAATGGAACAATCCAGAAGAACAGGAACAATCCAGAAGAACAGGAACAATCCAGAAGAATGGAAGAATCCAGAAGAATGGAAGAATCCAGAAGAATGGAAGAATCCAGAAGAATGGAAGAATTCAGAAGAATGGAAGAATCCAGAAGAATGGAACAATCCAGAAGAACAGGAACAATCCAGTAGAACAGGAACAATCCAGTAGAACAGGAACAATCAAGAAGAACAGGAACAATCCAGAAGAATAGAACAATCCAGAGGAATGGAACAATCCAGAAGAACAAGAACAATCCAGAAGAACAGGAACATCCAGAAGAATGGAACAATCCAGAAGAATGGAACAATCCAGAAGAATGGAACAATCCAGAAGAATGGAAGAATCCAGAAGAATGGAAGAATCCAGAGGAATGGAACAATTCAGAAAAATGGAACAATCTAGAAGAAATGGAAAAATCCAGAAGAATGGAACAATCCAGAAGAATGGAACAATCCAGAAGAATGGAACAATCTAGAAGAACAGGAAAAATCCAGAAGAATGGAACAATCCAGAAGAATGGAACCATCCAGAAGAACAGGAACAATCAAGAAGAACAGGAACAATCAAGAAGAATGGATGGAACAATCCAGAAGAATGGGAATACGTGATAAAGAGAAAACGAAGGGGAAAATTAAAAAAAACGAACATTAGAAAAGTGTGCAGTTGTAAAACTATAAAGAATAAACAAACCTAAACAACTTTTTTTAAATAAACGTCCATCTATTGAATGTACCTAATTTTTTATGATCTAATTCAGCTTTTTATGTGTCACCCATCCGGAGTCTAACTATAGATCTCATTTAGACAACATTTAGATATTATATCTCACAGCAATCTCTACATCGTATAAGATAGAACAACTAATGTCGAAATTGTCTTTTTTTTGAACAATCTTTTTTAAAACAAAATATCTTAAAATTCAAATACAGTGGGACACATAAATCTGTGGATTAGAAATATGACAATTAAGCATTAATCTTCTTTATAAGAAATGTTGTAGTTTTTTCAGTAGCTTGAAATTCAACTTATTAAGTAAAATGGGTCTGGGTAAACTGCACAATTGTTGTCATTGAACTTGAAAATTTGTAACTTTTGTCTAACAGTCGTCTTAATATTCCACTGTTTTATGAGTGTCACTCTATAAAGATGCCGATGTGCACATTTTCTAGCTTTCATACATTCACATTTACCATCATATCTCTTTTCTTTCTTTCTACAATTATTATTTCATTACATATTTATTTAGTTTAGATATATTTCTTAAACAATTGTTTGTATCTAAATTAGCCAAGGACCACAGGTTGAGGGGTTTCTAGCAGTATAACAGGCCTCGGGACAATCATCGTTAGATTTGCAAGGTTTCCCCGTTGCAAAATATTCTATTTCATTCAAGCATCCCGCGCCATTTCTGCAGAACAATCCAGGTGCGCAGTCGGAGTCTTTTGTACACTGCGCATCCAACTGCGCCATTATAAACAAGATGGCGACTAATACAGAAGTAATCCACTTAAACATTTTCAATTAAGATAAATGTGTTTCCTCCGCAACAGTTGAATGATGACTGCTAATGAATATGAAACTAGGAGGGTTTCCCATGAATTTTATATTTTAATTTACATCTTTGTTGCGCAAAATTTTCCGGTTTGGGGAGGGGCAAAATGGTAACAGACAATCTTAAAATTAAAAAAAAAATATTTTGTAATTCTAAGAAAAATGTGACTTAAAAGTAAAAAAGGTCTATTTTTGTAGAGTAGAAGAAAATGATTCAGCACTGGATGATCTATTTTAAAAACAAAACTCATCTTTAAACTTGTTTTAAACATGTAATTAGATCTTTTAAAATATCAACGAGGGAGGGGTGGCTGCTCTCAGGGTTTTGGAATTGCTCCCAGGATTTTGGAGTTGCTCCCAGGATTTTGGAGTAAAATGTGAAAATTCATCCGACCTTTTATGAAAATTCCTTTAAAATGGATACTTTAAAACTGAAAATTGAAAAAGGGCTCTGCTACTCCTTTCTTACTGTCTTTGTTAAGATATTTGCAGGGGAAAAATCGTAAATTTAAGCGGAAACAAATGATGTTTGTTTGGCTAATCAAAACTATAACATCGTCACTTGCTACTTGAACTGAAATTTGCGATTTTTTCTCCTGTAAATATCTTAAAGATAAAAAAGGACAGCAGAGCCATTTTTCAATTTTCAGNCCCCCCTCCCCTCCCCGTCATCCATGTTTGAAATATATTTAGACATAATTAAATATATTAATATGACATTTGATGGATTTCTTGTAAGTTTGAATAAATTAAAGAAGCACTTCATCAGTGTTTTATGATATAATCCCACGCTCAAATCAAAACAACGCAAGCATCTAAAAATTCTAAATTAATTCACTTCATCTTTCATCCGGTGTCAAACTTAATCTTTCACATACCCTTTCAAATTTAAGAAATTCAAATTTCAACGGAATTAAGTCTTTGACACAAACTCTGATTTTCTAATTCCTATATCTCTGCAACCGAATGTCGCAGACCTTAGATATTTCAAACTATGAATTCGGTTGCATTAAATTATCTTAGTTTGAAATATCAAAAGTCTACAACATCAGGTCCCATAGATATAGGGATTATAAAATTTAAGTTTGTGGCAAAGACTCAATTCCTTTAAGTGCAACATGAGGTACGAGAAAAATATGTTAAATGATGAACAGGAATTTAAACAACAAATAATAAAAAATAATAAAGTTATCAACCACAGAAGTAGAAGATCATTAAAAAAATCAGTTAAACAATTTCCATTAATTTATTCATTATGAAAACTATTAATGAAACGTTTTTACAAATCAGATTTATATTTTCTAAACTAATTGTTGAATTTAAAAATAGAAAACCAGGAACAGATTTTCACAATTTGAAATCATTGTCTATCAAAAATCAAATTGAATATGGATATCAGAATAATAAGGCGCGATGTGTGGGGGGGCATTTCTTTAAAGAGTAAAACTAGGAAGAGGGGGAATTTAATGAATTTATCTAAGAAAAGATATTAGAAAAGCGTTTCTACCCCCCAAATAAAAATTTAAATTAAAAATTTTTAAAAAAGTAATTGCATTGGGCGTGCATAAGTTTAAATCATTTTTGAGATAGAAAAAGATGAGACTTAAAAGAAGAATAATTAGAAACTTTTTAAAATAGACGATATACTTTTTAAATAAGGGTAATGAAAATTATGTAAAAAAAATCCTTCAGGTTGTGAGGTGTGAGATTTTAAAACGTGAATTTCATATATGTCTTCTTTCTGTATGACGCTAAAAAGAATGAGGATAAAAAGTTGAACTGGTAATTAAGCTAAATTAAACCCAATATTATGGGAATAAAAATGTTTTTACTACTTTGCCTTGGAAAGTTGATTACGAATAAATCTTATCAAATACAGATTTTTAAATTCCTGAGTTTTCCAAGCTAGTTTTGTATGTTCAGAAAAATAAATGTTCTTTTAAGAATACTTAAAAATTTGGATATTATCTTTAGATATCCAAGATACTTCAAAATTAGCTACACATATCTTATAGAATTTATAAAGGTTGCAGGTGTATTGGGTGGGATGGTCGGCCATATTTACATATATTCTGCATTTATATTCCTACTAATTCAAAATGGATATTTATATCGTCTATCTATCTATCCATCAAAATATCTATCTATCAAAATATCTTTCCATCAAACTATCTTTCCATCAAACTATCTTTCCATCAAACTATCTTTCCATCAAACTATCTTTCCATCAAACTGTCTTTCCAGCTAAATATCTTTCCATCAAAATATCTATCTATCAAAATATCTATCCATGAAAATATCTTTCCATCAAACTATCTTTCCAACTAAATATCTTTCCATCAAAATATCTATATATCTATATATCTATCTACCAACGTATATATCTTTCACATGTCTAACAGTTCTGGATCTATCTATCTATCTATCAATCAATCTATCTATCTATATATCTATCTACCAACGTATATATCTTTCACATGTCTAACAGTTCTGGTCAAGCTGTCATTTTGACCCATCATTCTTACGATATTCATTATTTAACACATTTTATTGGAAATTTGAAAATAATTCACAATTCACAACGGTACCCTTTAAACTTTTAACTGGGTGCCTATGAAGAATTTATCTTCTTTCTTTGTCTTTGCGTGATAATTCCGCAAATCACTTTTAAACAGGTATAAACAAGTATATCTCCATCATCGTTGTTCAGTCAAAGGTTCAAATTGTACCGTTAGGAAACCCGTAACTTGTTAAATAAAGAGTCGCATGAAATTACGTAGATAGTCCCTTTAAGTTTATTAGCACGGTCGATAATCTTTTTTTTTGTAACTCTCTTTTTTTCTTAATTTTGAAAGTATATAATCGCAAATTCAAGCTTCAGCAATATTTATCCATTTTTATAAATTTTGAATTAAAGTAATCTGATTAAATTCTTACTGATCCTCATGAAATTTGGACGACATGCAATTTTCAAGGCTTTTACCATCTTTAAAATAAATAAACATTTCGTGTTAGCATCGTACAGTGAGAACCAGAAAGCTGTAGAATGAAATTTTGTGATTAGAAAATAAAGTGGAATATTTCACTGTGTTTTCATGTGCTAACTTTCATCTGTTTTAACTGAATAATTATACAAAGTAATTAGCTAACAAAATAGCTAAATAGCTTGAATAAGTAACTCGTTATTTCATTTTATCTATTGTGTGCATCTACATCTATTTACCCTCTATCATACCTTTGCAATATATCTATGAGTCGTGTAGGATATCTCTGTGATCTTTCTATCTGTCTATCTGCATATTTAGATAAATAATAAATAGATAGAAAGATAGAAAGATAGATAGATAGATAGAAAGATAGATAATGATAGATTGATTAGGCAGTTTCTACATATCTACCTATTTATCCAGCTATCTATCTCTCCATCTATCCACCTATTCATGATCTCTCAATGATCTCTCTATTTGTCTATCTATCTATCTATCTATCTATCTATCTATCTATTTATCTATCTATCTGTCCATTTATCTGTCTATCTCTCTAGCTATCTATCTATCTATCTATCTATCTATCTATCTATCGATCGATCGATCTATCTATCTATCTATCTATCTATCTATCTATCTATCGATCTATCTATCTATCTATCTATCTATCTATCTGAATATCGTGGTTTATACTCTGTAACTGCATGCATATCGGGATATAAAGCCGGGAACATTGATCATTCATTCACGACTTTTAGATCATATTTATTCAATATATTATATATTGATATATCTAGTCAATTATTATTATTAGCACTATTCATTTTCAAACACAAAATACAACTTTATAATATGTGATGTGTTTAGGTAAAACAGAAAAGAGTAAATAAGTTAATCGAAAATACTAGGAATTGATTTATTGGTAAAAGTACTGATTGTTCATTGCAAACTGGAGAAGGTAAAATGGGTGCGATATTTACTGCCTACTGGGACGACTTTGTGACATCGTTAAAGTTTCTCTAGTTTTTTAATTTTACGCATAACATAAAATCCGCCAACATATATATACAGGGTGACCTACGAAACATGACAATTGGTAAATAGTTTTGAATGTCGTCTTCCACACACTGTATTAGATATTAAAGCCTGATTGCAGTTTATTTCGTTTAAAAAAACTTTTGCTCGAATATATTTTACTTTGAAGTTAATTTTATTATAATATGACTCCTATATAATATTTTCTTTATTGTCTTTGATATTAAACAGCTTTACAAATTATGGAAGAAGAATTTCTAAACTATTTACCAACTGTCATGTTTCGTGGGACACCCTGTATATGAATTTCAAACCATTTTGGATGTTCAATAATTCTTTCATAGTTATAATTGAAACATAAAAGATTTAAATCTAACATGATATTTCCCTATTGTTATTTATACATTTGTTTTGTCTATCTGTCAAGATATTTGAACCTTAAACGCAAAAACAATCATTTTAAATCGTAGTGTAAGATATATCGTGTTTAGAGATTAAAAACTTTTAAATGCACTATTTGATAAAATTGATTATTTGGCTGATATCAATCGAAAACAAACACTTTAATAATTTTAAGTATTTCATAAAAACTTTAAAATGTCGCATCATAATTCAGAGGTGAAGGTCTGTTCAACCAAGCGAATATTTTATTTCTAATGTTGATGATTTGTGAAATCCAAAAGTAAAACTTTAAAATTATGTTTTTTAAATATTTTTAGTCGTATTCAAAAAGTTTTCGAAAAGAAACTTTTTGTAAGTTTTGTATATTGATTCTTTTCATAGATTTAAACCATAAATATTTAATACATTAGCCCTAGCTATGGCAAAAGAGAAAATTGTTTTTAGATGCAAAAACTAAAAAGTAGATTTTTATAATAACATTTAGAAAATTCAACCTTCTGGTTAATTTATATCACAAATTATTTTAACTTTTATAGATATTAATAGCGTCTTACGTGACTAAAACTAAAAAAAAACTATGATAAAAATCCGAAAAGTTAAAGATGTGTATTCGTACTACTTTAAAATATTTTCGTTTAAAAAGTAAAGAAACAATTGCTAAACCTTTCAATTTTAAAGAACACTGAGAATAAAATGTTTTGTTTACCTTAAAATTTATATAGTCCTCTGTAATGGACCACGATAATGTAACTTTTCCCTGGTCCCCGTCCAGGACTGCACTATGGTCCCCGGTCCAGTCCGGGGATATTGTGGACCTAAGTCCAGGACTAGGAACCCCCAGGTGTCCACTGGAATCAAAGGCCAGCCTTCTGAGGTCGGGAGGAAGGGTTTTGATATCTATACTGCAGCCGGTTAACCGGTATAAAGTCTGTAGAAAACACAGAATATAAGTCGTCTTCATTGTAACCTAGAGTCTTGATAGCATCACCCCCTTTAACACCTTTTATCCGTAGACTGATCTTATCACAAAACAGAGTTATTTAGAATCACTGAATGTACACATTGGTTTAAATAGAATGACAACGAATTCTATTGTCCCCGAAATTACCACTGTGCAAATCTGATTTTCCCAGCAAACACAATTGTGCAAAGTTTACTGGCATTTATGTACTAGGTTAGCTAAGATTCACATTATTAGATATTCAGTGTCTCTATATGGACCCTGAGTAGTGTGTCTGGATGGGTCCTGGTTCAGTATCACGGATAGACTGGAGCTCTCAGACCTGAGTGCACATGAGAACACGGAGAAGGTTTGTTTGAACGGAACCTGCAGGGACGGACANTCCTCCCCAAAAGCACGAACACACCTTCTTAACCCTATCACTGATAGATATCTTCCTTGAATACTCAACCAACACTCCGATCAGATACAAGGTGTCTCAATAAACATGAGAATTAAGTAATCATCTTGAGATCATCTGTGTTAATGACTTTTGATTTCATTGGTCCTCGCATACAAAGTACAGTTGAGTCTCCTTACTTTTTATCTTGCAGAAATGTTAAAACATAAATATATTCTATATGTGTAGACAAAACTTTACTATGAAGATTTCGATATTAGGTATTATGAGTTAACTTCTTAATAATTGTTAGATTCGAATCCATGTTTATGGAACCACCCTGTAGAAAAAATATAATATTCTTTGAAGGAAAACATCGGAAACTGATTTAAAATTAATTAACGGAGAACCAAAACATCTCAAGGTTACTGATTGGAATAGTTTTAAAAGGCGAGAAAAAAGAAATCCTGGAATTAATTTCTGAAATATTTCTGATCAAGACTTTTATGTCATTTTTGTTTTTATTTGAAATTATCCATTAGAGATAGACTCTAAATTGTTAGTATAATTGCTATTGCAACCTAATGGTGTAAACCTTTGATATTTTAAACTATGGTGATTTGATCTAAAAGAATGTTTTAATTGAAATATCAAAGGTCTCCGACATCTTGCCAGGAGGCAAAGTTTCTTAATGAACAGTTTACTTAACAGTTAACTTCATAGTATTATGTTGTAATGTAGTTCACATCATACAGCTTATACAGCTGTCAAGATGTCGACTTGTGCAAAATGTCAGAATATCAAATGCAAATGATGAAAACTCTTGAAAACTCTTGTTCACTAAACATTTACGTTTTTTAAAATATCCTGAATATGACGATTTAAACCGATGATATAAAAATTAACTTTTTGAAGTTTAGAGTATACTTAAACATTTTTTATCTACAGGGTGTAACATTATACATACCAGTTGAGACTATTTAAAGATCTTTCGATAGCTATCTAATAGCAATTTGTGCCTAAAAGGAATTGAGTTTTTGCCACAAAGTAAAATCTTCTGGTCCCAATTTCTTTGCAACCCGATGGTGCTAACCTTTGATATTTCAAGCTTAGATTATTTTATATATAAGTATTAATAGTTGTAAATATCTAAGGTCTACGCCATTGGATTACAAAGATATAGAGATTAGAAAATCAGAGTTTGTGGCAAAAACTCAACTCCTTTGACCGATTTATATGAGCTCTTCATAATTTTGGTAAATTTTCTAAAGAGCTTATAGTCATTGCACTTTTTAGATACATTGTATAATGTATAGTGTATATGCTATCAAAGACGATCTTAAAGAAATCTCTCAACTTTCATGTTTATTGACACACCCTGTATTGACTCTTCACATAAAGAAAAGCACAAATTAGATTAAATGCTATATTTATAGAAGTTGTTGAATAAATAAAATAGATAAATACAATAATATAAGCATACATATGATTATGAACGTAGAATGTATTGACATAAACTGAATCTTCTAGCGTTTATCTCCATGGCGGCCTGGTAGATAAAACAGATTTCTTGGCTTTCAGGATGGGTTTTGCGAGAGGGACGGGTTCTTTAATTAACTTTGATTTAACTCTCGGCTTTGTCTTCAAAAACGGAGTCAATAATGAAGAGCTCGAGAGCCAGTTGTAGCTTGAACCATTTTTGAGATTTAATCTTTCCTCCATTAGATCAAGCTCTGTAGTGGATGTGGATAGGAGATTCATGGAATCCTGGCTTGAACCTTCCAGCTTGAGTGTTAATCTCTCCAACCTCCTATTCAGGTATTCAACCTCGTCCGTCGAGGCCGGGGATATGGCCGAGGGTAGATGAGCAAGGATGAATTCATGTATAATATTTTTCAGTTGGATCCATACAGATTTCATCAGTGCAGAGGAGTATAAATAATTAACAGAGTGGTAGACTCCAATAATACAAATTGAAACTGCAACTAGAAGTAGTGCTCCTATGGCTAGATGTGCCAGGATTTGTTGAACCATCTCCATCTCCTTCAACAGAAAGACAGTCACAGCAGAAGATACGAGAAGATCACGGATAGTAGCTGTGGAGTACATTGTAGATTGATAATGTACAACGATGATACAACCAGTAATAGTGATTTCTTAACACAAATACAGCTTTATATACACTGCTGTGGCCCTCTTAACCCCTCTAACCCAATAACATCATCATATACTTCCTTCATACATCATGTCTTCATCGTAACCCTTAAAAGAGACTGTCGTCGCAGTTTACGTGACGCTCTAATTAAAGATCTGACCATGCCCGGTTTAAAACGATACTCATGAAATCTTTAGCTGATGAATGACGTGGAAGAAAAATGTTTAATTCTGATCATTTCTCTGTTATTTCGGAGGCAAAAATTGCGCAAGCAACTTTTGCAGCTAAAAACCACAAATGAATATGATATCTAATTCATATTTGATCAGACAAAGCTTTCAAGGGTACCGTTGTGATAAGACATGCCACGTTCTATCACTTGGAATTACGTTTACAGTCCCTTTAACTCCATGGCTATGGTTTCAAGTCGGGGTTTCTCTTTTTGTCCCCCCTTCTGGAAATGTTAAGTCCCCCCCCACCCATCTACTATACATTAGTCCGTGTATACACCCCTAATTTTTTCAATGAATTATTTTTGTAATTGAGCTTGAATGGTCAACAAAAACGAACTCTGGGATTTTTTTTATAAATTACGGAAAATATGGAAGACCCAGTAGTTGGGTTTTTTATTGAGACACCCTGTATTCGCGGGTTTAATTGGTATGTTTATGTCTCATAATGTTGTTTACAAACTATTAATATTCGACCAATGAGGGTTGTCTAATTGTACAGTACACTCTAGCAGGTGCTAAGAGGTCGTCTCACTAATATCCGTGTCAAATCATCTGATTAACTTTAGTAAACATGGAGTATAGATTACATTCATACCGTAAGGGGCGTAGACAGAGGATTGTATGAATCTTTGTAAGAAAGTCCCGGGAAAAAAGTTTCCGGAAAAAAAACCTGGAAATAAAAACTTTGTAAAAAAGTCCGAATTTTCTCAAGTCCTTGGAAAAAATGTCACGGGAAAAAAAGTCCTGTGTTTTGGATTCCTGTTACTTATTTTCCTATAATAACGCCCCCCTCCCCTCCCCCCTGGAATGTTAAAAAAAGGTTAAGCCCCCTAGACAATTCTTTTTCACGCCACTGACTGCATACATATATACATTCCTATACATTATAATTTAACCCTAAGAGGATGGGGCTTGTTGTGCCGACGTGTGGTGCTAAAGAGGGGAGGGGTGGGGCGTTCGTGTAGTAGGGTTAAAGTCTGTTAATATCAGAATATTAGAACTAGTAACTTTTGTTTGGGATACTCATAATCTCAATATCCACAGCGGGCACCTTTAATCTGAGGATTAATGTTTAATCTCTTCATTTCAGTTATTCCTTCAGAGCTGAAAACTTTAGAATCTGATATCCTTAATCCCGATCTGTTAATTAATCTGGAGATTAAATTCATGAGGACAACAAGTAATATTTAATCTGAGCTGAAAACTTTTGAATGGGATATCCTTAATCCTGATCGGATAATTAATCTGGAGATTAAAAATGAAAGGACAACAAGCAATATTTAATCTCGAGATTAAGTAAAAGAGTGGATTAAGCTTTAATCTCGATATCCACTATTCTAAAGTTTTCAGCTCTGGAGATTAAGAAAAAGAGTGGATCAAGCATTAATCCTGATATCCAGCATTCTAAAGTTCCCAGCTCAGGGTAAAATTTTACGGTGGATATCGAATGAAGATTAATTAATCTGCAGATTAACAAAAGATCTTGATAAAGCATTGATCTCGATATCCACAATACAAGAATTCTGAGCTCAGGTAATTGTTCATGTTTTGAGAGACATTTGCTTGTTTATAACGAGGTTGAAGGGTGGTGTGTGTGTACAGTGTACAAGTTGTTATATTAAACTGTGACTTTATGAACTATTAAAAAGTGTTGAATCTGGATCAAATTTCACGTCTTTAGAACCCGAGAGGTTTACCAGGTCATTATTATACTTGTTAAAATTATGTTCATATTTTGATTTATTCATTCAAATTAAACTCCCCCTCTCCCCCTCCAATAAAAATTGTATTCAAATAATTGGATTAAATAGGTAACTAGACAAATAGAATTAATGTTTATCAAATCATTTTCTAAATCCAATCATAAAAGCGGCAAAACTTAATGAGGAGATAGCATTAAAAAAATTATTTCTTGTCCATAATATTAGAGTCCCTCCGACCCCCCCCCCTAAAACAAATTGTATAGATATATAAAAACCTTCAGATGAAATATATTGTTTAATTCATTTCATAAATCATGTGGTAAACGAAAAGCTTAACTTCAAATACATGTGTACTGCAGTGTTTACATTTCTCCCATAGAAAATGTAATTAAGTCTTATTTTCCTGGGCCAGTAATATTGTTGACCAAGACTACCAGTTTCCTTTCGGTGTCTACGCATTTCTAAAATTTTTAATTCCAATATTTATTTCCAGATAAAAACATTCCTGTCTGCTAAAATTTTGAAATCCATGGTTTCCGATATAACGTGGCCAAATCAAATGAAAGTAAGAAATCGTTGAACTACGTAAGCTAAGTTGAACCATTTCTCTTGTGCGATGGTTCAGATAGAAGAAAAGTGGTTCAACTAAGTCTAGATAATTCAGCAGCATCTGGCTTTTCATTAAATTTGGTCGTAACTGTCAGAAAATTCATTACAATTTTTTTGCGAACATAGTTTTGAGGGTTCCTTCATGTTTCTTAATACATTGTTTCAAATAAGCTGTATAACAAAACATTGTTTCGATCAAATAAGCTATAGAACAAAACATTGTTTCAAATATGCTATATAACAAATATGCATTAAATTATTATTGAATCTAGCCCGACTTCCTATCCATCTTATTCTGCGGACCCCTGTATTTCCCATATTTTATAATTTGTCTGTGAGGGACGTGGGAGGAGGGAGGGGGTGGCAAATATATACATAGGAGTGGGCAAAACAAACATAAATTATAAATTCATTTAATGTAAACATGAGAGTTCACATAAATTAAACGAATGAAGATGTTTTTTTGTGAATTGTAACTATATATATAATAAGAAGTAATTTCTGTTTGTCTGTCTATTTGTTTGTATGTGCGATTATAGATTACCAACCCCTTGACCGATTTGCCTCAAACTTTTATTGGGGAACTCGGTTAACCACGGTAATGAAACAAGTTTAAGTTGAGTAAGTTGATATTCATGGGAAAAGTTAGTTTACAGGCAAAGCTGGGTTCCTAAGCTAGTATTTAGCTTAATAGAAGGAAGCGACATTTTTTTATCAACTTTGGGTAAAAAATAATGAAATTCTTTTCACTCCTGGACAACC